GCCACAAGTGTTGTAAAAAAGTAAAATGATGGCTGCCTGTCCTGAGCCTGGTCCTGCTGGAGCTTTCTTCCTGATTAGCAGGGAGTTTTTCCTCTCCACCGTTTGCTCAGGATGGGAGACTGTGATGAAGTGATTCAACACAATCTGCTGCTTTCTTCTTTACATTGTTCTTTTTATCTACAGTGTCCTGAGACAACATGTGTTGGGACTTGGAGCTGTAGAAATAAACTGAACTGAATTTTAGTGATAAGATGAAAATGCAAAAAAATAAATACAAATATAAATAAATAAATAAACTAATAAATAAATAAATGTAATTCAAGTTTCAACTATGATCTCAGATAAAGTTCATCTTAAATGCTTGTTTTCAAAGTTCCATCTTCATAATATACAGATTGTGTTCATTACACATCCTTAGAAATTTATTGAAATGCTTTTGAAATGTCTGGAAAATGCATCATTTTGAGTAAATACCCTTAAAAAACTGCTTCACTCAACAACTTCTTGTTAAAAAAAGAGGTGTCCCTCAAATGTTGGCTGGTACGTGGGAGACYTCAAGAATTTGATTTCATATTTACCATATTGTTTAAAATGAATTTAACTATTTTCATTGGGCAACCTGGTTTCTACAGATAAAAGATACAGTGATATAAAAATCAAAACAGTTTAATTTCATAAGTGAATGTAGAACTGGCAGTGAGATTTGGTAAATTTCGGAGAGCACTGCCTGAAATGTTTTGGGAAGTGATCTGTGTGTAGGAAAATGGTGCTGATGGGATGCTTCTATAATATCATAMAGGTGTAGAAACAAAGTCAGTCAAAACATTTTCTTTTTTAATTTAATCCATGGAAACGTCAACAGATGATGACTGCTGTCAATGTGTCCTTGTTTTTTGTTTGTTCGGCACTGCATTCCTGTTTCCTGTGCACCAGTGTAGTTAGCGTGTGTGTAACAGCACGTGTATTGTGTGTACCATCTACTTACAGGTGAACTGGTGAATTACATATCCATGTACTGTGGATATGAATGTAGGGTATACATTTATTCCACTTTCTTTCTTTGATTCTGACTCAATGACTTCTATGGCCTTCAGTAGTTTTATTGATTTTGTCTTAATGTGATGGTCCTTAAATGTGATGTTAACCAGGGTGTTGGAAACCTGTGTTTGAACATTAAATATGTTGTCATGTAATGCAGAGGTGCCCAACCAGTCCATCTGGGTGTTGTCTCTGATAGTTCTGTGTCTTTTGACAGTCATTGTAAAACTTTAGTTCGTAACTGTTTTTATCATTTAAGGAACATTTCAAAGCTGAGATGTTTTGTGTCACAGAAGGAGCTAGAGATGGTTGTTCACGCTTTTATTTCTTCTCGTTTAGATTATTGTAACCGTCTTTTTACGTGTCTAAACAAATCCTGGTTGACTGGGCTTCAGTCTGTGCAGAACGCTGCAGCGAGGTTAGAG